GTTGTTCATCTGAATTAATCTTACACCTGTTAAATTATGATCTCAGGACACAAAAAGATTCAGAATCCGTTTGCACAACTACCTGGCTCCCGACCCATTTATCGTCCCTTATCTGGAATACGCAGGTTTTGGACATGTGATAAAGATCTCCAACTGCACCATTGACTCGAAGTTCATTCTTGCAATGTTGGAAAGGTGGAGACCGGAGACCCATACATTTCACCTACTAATAGGTGAAATTACCATCACGCTAGAGGATGTGTACATGCTACTGGGCCTTCCTATCGACGGTAAGGCGGTGAACGGGTCGGTTCAACAACCCAACTCACAGTGTGAAGAACTGTTGGGTAGGGATATGGTAGAAGGTGGTGGAGCAAGAGGGCAGGGAATACTACTCACTGACCTGAAACGTCATTATGCAAGTATGGAATTAAATGAAAATTCCTCAGAGAATGACAGAGTAGTAAAAGCCAGAACGTATCTTATGATACTTTTTGGTACATTTTTATTTCTCGAAAGTACGGGAAATAGTGTAAATTTTATGTACTTACATTTACTAACAAATTTTGAAAAAACTAGAAAATATAGTTGGGGTTCTGCAGTATTAGCCCACCTATACAGTTCCTTGTGCAAAAACGTAGTCAAGGAAAAATGTACATTTTATGGGTGCGCATTTTTACTACAAGCCTGGGGTTGGTGGAGGATGGAGTCGTTAAACCCCGTCAACAACAACACTTTCGGTTTCCCGTACGCAACAAAGTAAGTCATCAAGTTATAGCATTTATAACTATTCTGCTCTTCCCAAAATATATGCTAAGAATAACATGTTTCTCATTTCCTTTAGGTACTGCGTGAGGGGTATGGATTACGGCAAGAATCCAAGATTCAATATCGCACTCTACCGCAATCTGTTGGATCACTTAGGCCCAGATGACGTACGTCGTAGCTTTTAACTTTTGTTCATTTAAATTATTTATACATTAGTTTTGCGCTAACCTGATTTAAATTTTATCGCAGTTCGTCTGGAGACCATATTTGGGTTTGGGCCATGATCCAAACCCGAAGGATGCAGCAACTTGGACTGCAAAGACTGCACTCATTCGGTTCAACATTGTGGAGATGCACCACATCGACCGTGTGAAGATGCAGTTCGGAATGCATCAAGATATACCAAGTGATCCAACAGATTTGTCCCCATGGCATCTTAAAAGGGTCGACGCCCAGTGGGGTCTTACCAACTGGAAAGACTTCGCTCCGGAATGGTGTAAGATGTGGCAGAGGCGTCACCGCTACGTCTTGCAATTCCCGGTTTTCCTTACTCAAGGTAACATGCGACACACGGATCAATATTTGTCGTGGTACAGGTCGGTTAGTAACCCAGATATGCACGTGTCTCATCTGAGGTACTTGGTTGACCCACGCACACAATGGGCACAACCCTCGATTCCCCATCAACAAACCCAAAACCCATCAACCTCCCACCAACCCCCAAGAAGAAACAGATCCACAACCACCCAACCACATTCCCCACCACAACACAACTACAATCAAATGCCGTACAACTAACCACAATCACCACCAAACTACCAATACCCCAATATGCCTCAAACTCAACCACAATACCAACCCCAATACCAGCACACCCACATACCCCACACACAATTTCAGTCTTCCACATATCCCAATATGGCGCCCTCAACATCCAGCCTTAGCCCTGATATGGGAATGTCAGAAGATTATGACCAAGCCGACCAAACCTACCATCACCCACCATATCACCAAACCACCCAACATCCTCAATACCAAACACCCCAAGATCCATTTCCTTTCTACCCCCCATACTCAGACGACCAATGCTACAGACCAACCATGGAACCCCACCCACCGCCAAAACGACCAAACTTTGAGGGTATGGGTAACCGACTGTACCAGAGCGGATCTTCTAGATATGGAGATCTGACTGATTTTATGGATTCGGACCGCATTGACTTCGCTGGGCCATCGACCTTGCCGCAGCAGGAAACGCGACGGCACCCAGCAAGAGAAAGGCGAGGACGGGGATGCGGAACCGAGGGTCATTACCGGGTTCCGGGGGATCACTGATGTATTTTTTTTTTTTCCAGTTTTTTTGTATCCATTTTTTCTGTTATTTTAATGTAATACAGTTGGATGTAATTATTTTTTTTATAATAAAAAGTCCATTTTATTGATCTCTGTCCAACAGGCAATGCACAGGAAAAAAAAATTTTGCCCTAAAATTACACTTAGGCGCCATCTCACATGGCTTAGGGCATGCCCTAAGCACATAGGCGCCAAGTGAGATGGCGCCTCCCTTAAAAAAGGAGGTGCATGCGCCAATTCAGATGGCTCCTCCTTTGGGGAGTCATCTAAAACATGGTTATTTGCGTATTTTTTTCCGAAACCCGGTTATTTGCGAAATATTATTTTAATACTTGGTTATTAATAAAAAAAAATCACGGTTCACAACATGTTACCTTATGGATGTATTTCTTGCAACAATTCAAGTGATTCAGTGATACTTTTATCCGTCCACCAATCTCTTGCTTTATGATTAAATAAATAGTCTTAACATAATTGACAATTTTGTAAAAAAATTGCATCCCAGGTATAACGACTCTTCGAGGTTACTTTGCAAAGTATCTTTCATATGAGCTTTCTTAAAAGCATCTACTCCAATATATCGAATCATATCCTCTAGAGTATCATTTATAAATTCATCAACTTCAACTCTATGTGATGTAGGTCTTTTTTGTCATTTCACCATGCCAAAACTAAGAGCTTGTGTAAGTTTTATGATTGATATAAATTTTTCTGATAAAATTTTGATTTTCACATCAGCCATTGAAAATATCTTATACTAAGGAAAAATTTGTTATGGTAAAGTTTTTATTTTCATCTCATATCTTCCGGTAAACTTTACCATGACAAAAAAATTTCCATTGATTTAAAAACTAGGAGCTTGTGTAGTTTTTATGATTAAATATCTTTTGTATTTAATATTCTAATATATCTTATTTATAAATTTTTTATCGTAAAATATATTATTTATAATAATTATATAATTTTATATATGAAAGTTTAAATTTACTCAATTAAGCCGCACCTAAATTTTTTCGAATACTTTTTTCAAATTTTTTAAGTATACATTTTTAAACACGAAAAAATTTAATTTTAAGTTTTATGAAGAAAAAAATCTGTGGGGGTGAAGCATAACAAAAAAAAGTAAAAAGTTATTTTTCATAATATTTTTTAGAAATAAAAATATAATTGTAGGAGTATAAATCCATTATTTATTTCATTTTTTCTCAGAGGAAGAGAGTTTATAATTGGACTCTAAATTTAGATATCAAATTATAAAATATTTAAGATTTAAATGTATTCTAATATCAAGTAAATAGGTTTTAATTATTAAATTTTTACCATAATTAAAATGATATAATTTTAATTTATTTTAAATTATTTTTTGTGAAAAATATTTAAAATAACTTTAAATTTGAATAATATTTTATGAAACTTTGATATCTAAAAAAATTATGACCAAAACACGAAAGATTTTAAAATATTTATGAAAAAATATTTGAATCAATTTTTATTTGAAGTTTAAAAAAAAAATTAACAAAAACTTGTAATACTAAAAAAGTTATTTTTAAAAAGTTGATGATTTTATTTAATATTTCCAATTTTCTCTTATGATTCAAATCTGGGGTCATATTATTTAACAAATTTAGGAGGTAAAATTTACCATTTTTAGAACTAAAAAGCATAGGGACCGAAATAACAACAATATAGAAATCTGAGCATACAAAAATTTGAATTTTGAAATAAAAAGACTAAAGATATATTAAAATTAATATTTAAATATTCACAAATCAATTTAAATTTTCATATTATGACTTAATTACCAAATTTAAAAACCTAAATAATTTTTTTTTCTTGAAATCAAATGCGCATAACAAAATATCTTGAAATTATTCCTTAAACTTAGTAAATTTGTCCAAGTTAATTAACATCATTATATATTAATAAAAGGAACCCACCATAAATGAAAAAGAAACACAATAGAATTCAAAACTAGTGGGTTACTGAATTCGCACGATTATCGTATGATATGCGTATTTATTTTTAAAATATAATAAAAATAAAATGATTTTTTTAAAAAATATAATAAATTAGTGGTTATAATTTTTTTAATATATAAAAATATTTAAATTAATAATATATATATTTTTATATAAATATTATTTTTGTTTTATAATTATGGTCGAAAATATTTAAATCAATAGTGAAATGGTTATATTATTATTCAGTATTTTGATCAGTAACTATATATTTTCGTTAATATTCAATAGTTTGACCTATAATTTCATGTTCATGTTAATATTCAATATTTTAATTAGTAATTTTATGCTCTCGTTAATATTCAATTGTTTAAACAATAACTTCATTTTCTCGTTAATAATCAAAATTTTGATCAATAATTTTATAATTTTGTTAATATTCAATATCTGATCAATAACTTTATGTTTTCGTTAATGTTTAATATTTTGATTAGTCACTTCATGTTTTCGTTAAAATTTAATAGTTTGATCAATAACGTCATGTTTTCGTTAATATTCAATATTTAAATTAGTAAATTCATATTTTCGTTATTATTCAATATTTTGATCATTAATTTTATATTCTCATTAATATTCAATATTTTGATCAGTAACTTCATGTTCTCTCGTTAATATTCAATATTTTTATTAGTAACTTCATGTTTCCGTTGATATTCAATATTTTGATAAATTAATTCATGTTCTCGTTAATATTCTATATTTTGATCAAAAAATTTATGTTCCCGTTAATATTTAACATTTTGATCAACAACTTCACATTCTTGTTAATATTCAATATTTTAATCAGTAACTTCATATTCCCGTTAATATTCAATATTTTTATCAATAACTTCATATTCCCGTTAATATTCAATATTTTTATCAATAACTTATGTTTCCTTTAATATTCAATATTTTGAATGGATCACCTTCTGAAAACATAACTAAAGTGGAATGGATCAGCTTCTGCTCAGATGCATCACCGAAAGAACCGGGAGAAGTGAGGTTGGCATCGTAGCCTGCAACGAAAAGGTATCAACAAAGTAAACTGCATGTAACTGTGTTGGTTAGAATTACGCAATAGGCTATCGTAAATTGACTAACCAGTAATATCTCCTTGAGTATAAGTTACAATGATCAGCCAGTTGGAGGAAACATAATTTTGTGTTATCCTTTGCACAAGATTGACATATGAATGAGATCCAGCCAAGGATGAAAGTAATGAGAGGTGAATAAGAAATTTTGCAAATGAATCTGTGATATAGTTATAGTCAATAGAGTATTCCATATCATGTTTCGGTAATATAAGTAATATTATAGGAATCTTGTCAAACTGCATTCCAAGTTCATCTATTGGCACCCTTTATTATGACTGTTAATTTTAAGCTGTCAGAGTCAAGGATAGAATGTTCATTATCTATAGAAGAAATTATTGAAATTTGTTATGGTTGGACATGCTGATATAGAATTGTGAATTATATAATCATATAATAAACATAATTGGAAGGTTGTCATTCGGTTTCAACATTAAGGACACCATTCTAAGAAGTGTTAAGTCACAACAACTCATACTTCCAAACTTGCGGCCTGTGGATTACCAGCCTTGAGTTCATTCGAAACATGAATGCCGCAAGAATCATTTAACCACTAAAGCATGAGCAAAAAGTATATCATGGAAATAAGAGAGAAACGAGTTTTAGGAGAGATTCGACTAATTGATATAATGATACTGTTACTGAATGTAAAACTGCATAAGAATTAAAAAATACTAACCTTATTGCTCCATTAAGTCCAAACAGGATCATCCAAATAACTGCTGATGTATTCACAATGACAAAACAAATTTACTTAATGTAACGACAATCTTATCCTCCCGAGCAATTTATGTCTCTCTCTAATCAAAGGGAAGATCTACTGATCTAATGAACCGTTCTTCATGAACTCGTAAACTAAAAGTCTGCAAAACGAACCTCAATTGTGCAGTGTCTTATCTAATTTCCATAGTAAAAACACATGTATTAAAGTTTCATGTCCTAGAATTACAATTGTATCAGTGCTCTTCAGGTCTCGATCAATATTTCGTCCATCTGGAAACAAACTCTCTGGCTGATATTACCCCTTTTAAGTTCTGAAAGAAACAAACTATCTGTTAATGCAAAACTGTCATATGATTAACAATAAATTGTCATTTATACTATGGGAAGTATCATTGAAACAAATACTCCAGCATCATATCATTAAATTAATGAATAAATCAAGCATACTTCTCCAGAAATACCAAGATTTTTGTCGCTTTCAGCATCATATGCAAGGATAACCTCCTCGAAAGTATAAATGAGTTATTTAAACGATAATATAACAGGACAATTTGTACCTAAACATATTACCATTAGCATAATAAAATTTAGAACCAAATCGTCACCGTATGTGTTCGCACCACATGTATCAAAGTTCATCATGTATAGGAATATATAGGAACCCGTATATATCAAAGTTCATCATGTATTTGTTGTTCTAAAGGAGCCTGTATATTATGAAAATGATCAACTATAACTTGATGAAGATTCATGTTTCTCTACGAGGTAAGTATTCCAATTCGCTTGGAAACTACATAAAGAACAACAAGAGAGAACAATAGAAAACCAACCTCAAGTATCACCCTGTTCATGTACGAGTTGACTATTAGGATTAAAAAAACCAAATTAGTGAGTGCACAGTAAAAAAGGACAACCTCATGCTACTAAACTCTATAACACCCTAAAAATTTAGATATAATTATTTAATTAATCTATTATGAATATCAATGATTATTGGTGAATATATAAATTAAGGTGAATTAGTCGATGCGGTGTATTTGTACGAATTGATAGATTTTTGTGATGTGATGTGTTTGTTGATGATGAGATGTCTTAGAAATTATAGAAGCTGAGGTGTTAAGAGTGTATGACCGAAACCATAAAATCATGGAGGTATGATGAGAAGACTAGTAATCATTTTATTATTAATATTATTATTATTATTATTATTATTATTATTATTATTATTATTATTATTATTATTATTATTATTATTATTATTATTATTATAGATACAAATTATTTACAATATTAGTAATTAAAAATAAGGAAAAGTAATATGGAGTTATTAATATTAAGGGTCTAAAGAGATAGAGAGAATTATTATTCTCAATCGATCGTAGAAAACAGAGAAGAGGGAAAAATGACACTTTTGGTAGAAGAGGAGAAAAAGAAGAACTTATGGCTAAAGGGAAGACTCCATTGGAGAAGGGGAGAGAACTCAAAACCTAAGGTAAGTGTGGAGTTCTAACTTTATAAGGATTTATATAATGGTGGGTATTGGTAGAGTTAGGTATTGTAATTGTATTTTCATCTTTGTGTGTTTGGTGTGAATTGTATTTGTGATGATTGATAATGATGATTTGGTGTGAAAACTTTGATTTTGATGATGTAAATTGATCTTAAATGATGAAGATGAATTGTGCATGTTTGGTAGAATAATTGTCTCTATTTGGTGTTGGAAATTGGTGATTTTGAATGTTTTGAGAAGATGAATCGCAATCTATTACACTGTAGAATTTTTGAAAAACAGCGCGGAGTAACTGGTTACCACCAGGAGAGAAACCGGTTACCGCATGGAAAAATTGATTCACGGAAGAAAATTTGTAAAGGGTAATCGGGTACCTAAATCATTGGCAGAATGGGTGTTTTGTGAAAATAGTAGTAACCAGTTACCATTAGTGGGCAATCGATTACCGCGAGAAAGTTTAAAACTCCAAAAGTTACCGTTTTGCAGTAACCAGTTACCACTAGAGGGTAACCGGTTACAACTGAGACAGAATGATAAATTTTCTGAAAAACTTTGAAAACTCATAACTTTTTACTCGGGTGTCCGTTTGACGCGTCGTTCGAACCTATGAAAAGCTAAAAATATTTTCTACTTAATAAAAATTATTTGGACACAATATGAGAGGATTGTATGGATTTTGTTTTATTCCGGTATTTTGTTGTAATTGCGAAGTTGCGAATATGACGATGAATATGAAAAGACTTCATGATGTAGTGATGTTGCAACGATGTATGAACAATGATGTATGATTAACAAGATGTATTGGCTTGGTTATTGATATGTGTTGTGCCATTGTATTTGTTGTCATAACATGTTAGTGTTACATGTATGTTCATAAGTGACAGTGTAGCCTAAATGGCAAGTGACGGTGTAGCCTTAATGGCAAGTGACACTGTAACCTAAATGGCAATTGACAGTGTAGCCTTAATGGCAAGTAAAGGTGTAGCCTAAATGGAAAAGAGACGTTGTTATGGTACCACATGCATATAATTAGTGAAGTTTGTCTCATTGTATTTATGATGTTATTGGTGAATAAGATGTGATTTAATTGATTGTTGAATGTGATTATTGAAAATATGATGTATATTAGCGTTAATGCATGAAATTTGAATAATTATGATGTTGTTGATGAATAAGATATGATTGGTTTAATTTTTGGGTGTGATTGTTGAGACGGTGTCATGTATTGGTGTGGATGCATGAAGTATTAACATTATGATTATGTATGTCATACTTTTCCTGTTCATTATCATATATTTGTTTATATTATTATGATATCTCATCTCTTATGTTTGAATGTTGCCTTCACGTGGGTAACACGTTGGTGAAAAGGATTAAAGTTTCTTGAGGTATGGATTTGCGCCTTGTAGTGCGTAAATTGAGTTGGGTCTTGCTCTGATACTGTAATATAGTGGGAGAACTGACTTGTTTTTGCATTTTATCGCAAATGTAGTGGATATCTAGATTCGCCACCAACTTTTCTTTTATCCAATAAGGAAATGGTGAAAAGAACAGGAAAGACCTTCGAGATTTTCTTGAGTTCGGGGGGTAGGTTATGAAAAGGGAATGTGTTAGCATTCTTTTCATCCGTAGTTATCTACGGGCTCTTAATCGCTTAGCTCACTTTGTTTTGAAAATTGCTTCGTGTTGTGAATGTTTGAAAATATTTTTAAAATGGCAATAGTAAGGAAAGACTTTGTAGTGATTCTCGTATTTGTCCTCGATAATGCGTATAAAGTGTTTGTTTGAAAATATTTTTGAAACTGTGATTGTGAAGGATGTTTTTATTTTGAAATGTTTGTGAGCAAGCGACTACGAGTGTTCTACCTACTCAAGGTCTTTATTGTTCTTTTCCTCCTCCTTTAGATAGCGCTATCCTAGCATTAGTTAGTAGGAAGCCCTATTGTTGGATGTGAAGGGACAAGCGTGGGTCATCATACAGTCATAGAAGGTAAATTATAGAGACTCTTTAGCAATTTTCATAAGGGACTAGATAGTTTACCAAAGGCAACACTCGAAAGGGTCATCGAGGGACCACGATCTTTGATTTCGAAGGATAGTGCTAAAGCGTCCCCGTGTTCGAGGGACATGACTGTTTTTGTTCTGAAGGCAACAAGGGAGGTTACCCTAGAGGTGCGCGTGAGCGAGTGTGTTGTGATTCAAGTATTGTTTATCTTGCATTAGGTTAACTATCGTTTGCTTTTATTAGTCTTTTCCATACAAGCCCTAATTAATAACAACAATAATAGTAAAATAGAAAAATAGTAAATGTGCGAAAAGTAAATGTTTCCTACGCTATTACGTGGCTTCGGGAATGGGGGGTACAAGTAATAAAATGCAGGGGAAAGTAAAATCCTAATTATATATTACAAACAATGAGCAGTTACATTATCATAAAAAATGTGAAAAGAAAAAACTACGCGAAAATCTAAGATAAGAAAACGAAAAGAGAAGGAAATTGTTTTTGGCGATTTTTCTTGATAAAAAGGTTTGATGATTAACCTAATAACCTAAGTAATTTAATTAATTTAACAAAAAAATTGATTAACTAAAACCTAAAAAAAACTAGTTAATTTTAATTTTAAAAAAATAAGAAATTTTTTAATTAAACAAAACTAAACCCTAATTTTGATTAGGGTTTGTGAAAAGGTTTTTTAGAAAAGTTGATTGGTAAAATAAAGATTTTAGTTTGGTGAATTTAGGGTTGAAAGTAAGAAAATAAGGGTTTTAAAAATTACCGGGGTTGGGTATTGAACCCACACCATCTACCCTTTCAATCAGCACCTTCACCACCAGACCAGACGTGCGCCTGTGTCAAAGGACAGAAACCAATGCGCTTTGTATTCAATCCTACAAAATATGAAAAAAACCGCAAAAGGGAGAGATCGAACCCACACCTTGATAGGGAAATACCTTAGCGCACGTTTCACCTGCTGGAGCGGTAATACATCTGTTAACTTATGTGAAACAATTAAAAGAAATGTTAAACTCAAATGCATTGACCGGAGAGACGCCGAAGCCCTAGCTCTGATCGTATTCTCCGGCGACCCTTTTTATTCAACCAACAAAAATAAGATATGTTAGCAAACCAAAAGCACCCTACCCCCCTAAATCGAGGGCTGCGAGTTCAATAAGACAATTATTTAGGACTGAAAATCAACAGTTTGGGAGGTATAACAAAAACGAGGTGGATCGGTGCAAATATGTTATATCACGATTTGGCCAGCATGGGACCTCCACGATGGTTCTATCCCGCATTATCAAACCTCATGGACATGTTAATAACATTAGTATGCGTAAAAACATCATGAAACGATAAATATGAAAAACATGCAATGATGAAACCGGCGATTCATTTCATGGGATTTTATCCCCTTTTGACCATGGAAATCGATCCATCCTTACCTTCTAACGTCCTAGGAAGTGAATGGACTGGCCAGCTTGGAGTGAAAGGGACTATGAATAGGGTTTCAAGTTGTTTTAGGATTCTTGAAAAGTTTGATATTTTCGGACAAGTTTCTTGATATAAGGGTTCGTGCCTTTCTTGTATGAAGAATGGAGATTATATAGCATGAATTAGGTCAAAGATAAAATCGGCTTGGACTTTGTGTAAGAATCCTTGTATTTTATCTTATCTATATTTGAATTAATAATGAATAAATCAAAAATAATTAAATTAAAATAGACCAACGGGTACATGAAAAAGATTTGAGGTATATAAGGAGTGTAATACACGCTTGTATTCTTAAACAATGGCCCAATAGTCCAAAATATCAAGTTTGCTCAATTTGAACTTCATGCACTTGCTCAAAATTTCTCAACTTGTACTAGTTATAACTCTCTCAATTTTCATATTTTGAAGGTGATCTTTGACTTTTTGGAAATATCAATATATCCTCTTAAATCCCTATGTTGATCATTTTTTCATTTCAAGACGTTATCTTAATTGTAATTTACCTTGACAAAAAGTGTTTTTTTGTTGACTTTTGAAATGACCTATAATGTATTGGTCCATATCTCTCAAATGAAGCATTTTTTGGACTTGAGCTCAAAGAGGAAAAGTTTTAGAGAATTGAATTTTCTCCAAAATGAG